ACTTTCTAATGAATGCAGAGTTGATTTTATATTTCTTTAGTAATTAAGAGTTTAAGCACCATTCATATGTATTCTGGCTGTTTAGATATGTTTTTCTGTAAAGTTCTCAAGATTTTTGCCCATTTTTCCAATTAGACTATTTCTGAGTTTTTATATGATTTGAACTTGAGCCCTTGGCTGGTTATATATGTTGCAAACATAGTCTCATTTTCTATCATTTGCCTTTTAACACTATTAATGGTACTTTTGAGGAACTGAGGTGTTTGATTTTAATATGATCTTATTTGTTAATTTTGCATGTAAATTTAGTATTTTCTATATACTATAAGAAAACTTTCCTGAACTCTTATTAAAGAGGTTTTATTTTATCTTCTAGAAGTTGCATTAATGATTGCTCACATTTAGATCTCTAATTGACCTGGAATTGAAGATAATGTATGATAGGGTCAAAACTAATGTTTCATAAGGAAATTCAGTTTCTTAGCATCCCTCACTAGAATAACATTTCCCCCTACATCTATGAAGGTCTACACACGATTGAGTAGGTTTTGTGTTTTATACTCTATTCTCTTGGTCTATATTTCTTCATCAAAACACTCTGTCACCATTAATATTACATCGTAGTCAATTTTATACTATGGCATATAGCCCCGTGCATTTAGTTATCCATTTTGAAAGTAGCTTCTAAATTTCAAAATATATAAGATTTTGGTATGAATTAAATTACAGTTATGTGTTAATTTGGGAAAAAATTGACCTCTGTCTTAGTCCATTTTTTTCTTGCTGTAACAGAATACTTGAGACTGGAAATTTTTTCATCTAGTGTTGAGATTCTCTGTGAGGGAATATTTTTCATGGTAAATTCAACTTCACTGATAATGATAGGAACATCCAGATTTTCAATATTTCCTTGTCTCTTTCTCGATAACTAAGAATTTGTACAATTCATCAACATTTTCAAATTTAGTAGTGCTATTATTTATTTTATTCTCTTCTGATCTTCAATCTTATAGGTTGTATAATATCACTGTTTTAACTGTTTATATTATATATTGCTTTAAAAATTTTTTTTGACCAATCTGACCATGGAATCAGCAATTTAATTAATCTTCAGAGAGCAAGCTTTGAATTTTGTTGGTTTCTTTTGGTTCTCAATTTTATTTTGTTCTGTATTTCCTTTTAAATTTTATTTGCTATTTTATTTTTAGCACCTCATATTGGCTACTAACGATATTGGTCTTTCTTCTTTTTTAATGACTACATGCATAACTTGTTTCTGAGCATGCAATTAAAAATATTTCATTTTTATAATAATTTGGATAAAATATTTCTAGTTTTCATTGTGATTTTTTTATTCAAAGGTTCCGTCTAGAAATATAATTCTTTATTTTCAAACTTATCACAATTTTCCTTTCTATTATTTACCTATATTGTGCATGTCCTAAAATTAAAAAATATACTGTATATGACTTTGATTCTGTGTAATTTGTTGATATTTATTTCAATATTGCAAAGATAATGGCACAAAACTTTCCATACTTATTCCCTTCAGAAATATCAATTTGAATAATCATTCACAAACAAAATACCTTTATAAGAGCTAAGAAAACCAAGCAGAGCTCCTAGCACCTGGGTGTAGTGCAGAAATAAGAAAATGTACAATGAAGAGTACAGCAGGACAGTTTTACATTACCTGTAGCGTCACTCCATAGCCTCCAATGAGCAGGGCATGGAGAGAAATACACTCTGCTTGGGGAAAGGAGACGAAGGTAAGCAAACTGCTTCAAACCCCAGGACTTGGCCTGCCCCTGTAATACTCAACACCAGAAAGACCCCCACAGCCTCAGAATTCAAACCAGTACCAATAGACTGAGCCTCTAGGCCCCATCCAGTGGTAGGCAGAATTCTAGGTTCTCAGCCTAGCAGACCTGGTCTTCATGGCCACCCTAGTGCTAGGTTGACCTCAGGGATCCTAGGCTCCAGATCACCCCCACCACTAGGTTGACTCCAAGAATGCTGGGCTTTGGCTCCATATTCAATGTCAGGCCAACCTTAACAAACTTAGACAACTTTCCTACAAATTTAAATTTATTCATAAGGAAAATATTTAAAAATATTCTGTAGTTATTGGTTGTAGCGATTTACATATGTTTTTATGACACAGTGATTGTGTGCTAATTAAAATACTATTCTATTTCTTTTGTTTGATTATGTTTTGAAATCTAGGAAGCTGATATGGTAACAATAATCCTTCAAAATGAATATTTGTGCACCTGTAACAGAACCTCAACCTATATAAAGTTTTTGACAGAATAGCATAGAAAAATAAACAAATCTATAATCACTCCAGAGAGCTTTGCTAATTTTTCTATACTCATACATTATAATTGTATCTTTTAGAAGCATATGGCCGGGCTTGAAGAAAACATATTTAAAGAAATATAAATACTTAATGATGTTAATTACTGATATGCTGGGATTTGAATTCACTATCCTGTCTCTATTTCAACTATTGAATATTCTCCTTTTCTCTCCTTGCTACCTTTTTTGAATTACTTTCATTTGATCCTCTCTTAATTTGGCAATTGCATAATCTCTCACTTCTCTTTTAGTAAAATTACATTATGTATCTTTGGCATATAAGAGGGCTTAGGTCTTTCTTTCTTTCCAGACAATGCATGAGCTTTCAAACACTTTTTTATTCCCTTCCTGGGTTGTTTGTATAACATATATTGTATAATGTTTTAGAAGTGCTTATTCCGATCTTATTTTTATTGCTCATTATTCCTATCTGGTTTTATTTTTTCTACCTAAAAACACTTTTTAGTATTTTCTTTACTGGATGTTTGCTAAAGCTTAATTTTTTGCAATTCTTGTTTGTCGAAAAATACCTCTGTTTTATCTTCACTTTGCAATAAGGTGTGCTTTGGGCCTAGCATTCTGGGCATAGCATTCTCTGCTTTGAAAAATTTGAAAAATTTCTTGGAGTTCACTTCCTGGTCCTTTCAGATTTATATTGTTTTGTTCCTTAGCATTTTCTCTCCTTTTGGTTTCAACATTTCAGAAAGGTGTCCCTTTTTTTGTATTCAGTGCTTTATTTTTTTGGTTTCATTTTATTTATTTATTTAATCAGATTTTATTGGTACATTTTAGATATACATAATGATCACATTCATCATAGGGAATTTGTACCTGTATATGATATAACTTCATTATTTTCCCACTCCCCTACTTTCCCTTCAACACTTCCTCCCCTCCCCATTTACAAAAGCTTGGTTTCCATTTTTTCCTTCTTTTCTCACTTGGTTTTTACTTTTCCCTTCTTGCCTTTTCCCCTCTCTCCTCCCTTGTTCCCTTCTTATTTACACTTTCAGTTTCTCACACCAAAGAAATAATGCAGTATGTACATGTGTCCGATTTATTTCACTTAAGAGTATGGTTTCAAGGTGAATCATTTACCTAAGACTGTCTCAGGCTTGCCCTTATATATGGCAGAGTTGTGCTCCATCGTATAAAAATCCAGAATTTTGTCCTGCTTGTGATTCACAATGCTTTTTCAATTCATCCTTTATAATAGTAATTAATTTTGGAAAATTCTCAACCAGTATCTTTTTAAATACTACTGCTGCTTTATTTTGCTTTTCTTCTGGAAAACAAATTATATGTATGTCATATACCATCTGTTTCTGATTTTTCCCTTTCTTATTTTTCATACATGTACATGCAACTAATTTTGCTCAAGATATTTTTATGCCTGTTTCCTAGTTAAATAATCCTTTGAAATCTGTTTAATCTGCTGTTAAATTTATCTAAAGAACTCTCAGTTTTGGACATTATATTTTTCAGATTGAAAATTTTCTTGTACTGTTTTCAAAATTCTGTTGAAGTTCTCAATTGCATCATTTATTTTCTTAAATATGTTCAGCATATTATTTAATGTCTTATTCCTGATAACACTATTTGTAGGTTTACTATCTGTTGATTTTATTCTGTTTCTTTTCTTCTTTTAGTCCTTTAATACTATGTCTTCTAAGCATTTTTTTTTATTAATGGTTGTATTGTGAGTAAAATATTTTAAAAGTTATTGAAGATGACATCTTCATTTAGTGACACATAGGCTTGCTGCTTGAAGAGATCTAGGGACAGTGTCAATCCAAATAATTTAATTCCATTTCAGGAATTAAAATGATGCAAATGTTATTAATTTCTGAATTGTCTCTACACTTAATGGTGTAGTTAGTATTTATTATCTAAACCCAAATTATATATAATTTACTAATGTTCCTCCTTCTTGATTAGACCTACTCTCAAATATTTGACCTCTTCAACAAGCAAGGCTATTGAAATTGCCCTTCAGCTCTCAGCTGAGCTCATGGTTCTTCTGAGTTGGCAAATGTCCTTAGCATCTATGCCAGGCTCAGTTTCCTGGGCTTCCTTCTCTTGTATTCCATATGACAATTCTTCACTATTTTGCCTTCAAAAATATTGCATCCATAATTTTCCAGCATGCATTGTTCCTAAAAGGAGCATTATCTGATCTCTCTTTACCTGCCATAAATTACTGATTCAATTTTTCATGGGAAAGAAGCAAAATCATTAATTGTGTATGAGGATGCAAGAGGAAATGTGGGAGCTTTGAGGCACAAGAAGAAAGTGCAAAAGAGTCAATTATCACATTAGGTGAATAAATGGGCCAATTAACT